CCAAATGAATGTCTGTATAAAAGTTGAATAATAAACTGTTTGAATTTAATTTGAGGTAAGGTTAGTAATTAGTTTAATATCCACCGCCCGTGCCCAGTGATCAAGTCACCAATTTTAATTATTAAAAGATGTGCCTAGTACATAAAATTCTTGTTATTATTGCGGGGTCTAGGGAGAATTAGATTTACGTAATCTTATCCCTACAAGTAAATAAACTATTTTTGTGACTCAAAACTAATTTTAATTATTATTGATGTTTAAATAAAATTGCAAGCAATAATTACAACTCTCGAACAAAGGGGATGAAAAGAGAGTAGCATTACTAATTAAGTATCCTGTACACGAAGAAAAGAGCCTTTTATGATTCGATCAAAAGTGGAAGATTGATGGTCCATCCATTTATTTTGAACAATACATCAAAACTTCGAGTGGTTGCCATTTTTTCTTTCTTTCTTTTTTCTTTTTTTTGGGTGGCCATTTACACTGCTGCTCAAAAGTGGAATACAATTACAAACATTACAAAGGGAAGGAAGGCAGCTTGGTAGCCAAAGGAAGCATCCTCTCCTGTTTTTTTTTTTCCTTTTTATAAGAATCCTCTCAAAGCTCAATACATTTAACCAAATCTTGTGCAATAAACTTGGATAATTATAATAATCCACTAAGCATTTTAATATCGGTATGCCGAAATTATTTGATTGGTTAGGTAATTTTCAAGTCAAATAATTTTCAAAACCCATAAAATTTGTGTAAATCATATCGACACAAAACAATCGAATCAAGAAAGAAATTAGTTAAGGTATTTGTGAACTGACTCTAAAACTTCTGGCCGTTGAAAAAAAAAAATTAATCCAACAAAAAACCAAATAGTAAATCCAAAGAGTTCAAGTATGTTTTTATTTGATCATATAGAATCCGTATGTATCTTAAAAAGAAAAAGAATTAGCCACTCCATCTAATCCTTCTAATGCTGCTTACTTAATATAATGTTAAAATGTGGTAAACCATGCCATTTCAAAACCCAACAACAAAACTTGCAAGCAATAGCAAAGTTACATAAAAACCAGCGAGACTCTGCCCAAACATTGAAGCCGCCCCAGCTTTATCAGACCCACTCGGCCCTCCACTAGTAGTGTTAGAACTACCACCACCAGAACCACCACCGGTAGTAGTACCATTACTCTGTGCTACCTTCACCAACTCTAAACTCCCCTTGGAATTTAGATTCGCCGGCCCAAAATCATGCTTCATTGGCACTCCAGTGGTCACCGACGCACCCACCTGCCACACCTGGCTCACCGTCGTCATGTTCTTCGGCAATGCTAGCGTGGCAAATATCATCATGAGCCCACCGGAGTACTCAGCTCGCGGGTTCAGCACATCGAACGAGAGCTTCGATTCCACAACGGACGTGTACGAGCTGATGTTATAGGTCTTGACGGCCATAGTTCCGTTGGAACCTTGAAACGCAATCAAAGCTTGAGAGCCAGCCATTCCTGTGCCAGTTGGATTTATGGCCCAGGCGATCCAGCCAGTGGGTTTCGCCGGAGGGGCGATGAAGAGGATGGAGAGAGATGAATTTGTGGGTTCGTAGGTCCAGTAAAGGTAGGAGCTTAGAGTGGGTAAATCTGTGCAGTTTGTGTACAAGATGTTGTTTGTGAAATTTTTTGACGAACAGTTGAGTGATTGTGTTGGTGAGATTAGCAGAAAAAGTAATGGAAACCCTAGAAATAGGGCTGAGAACCGGAAAGAGGCCATTGGAGAAAGCGTGAGATAGGTTGCTGTTAATATGGAGAGTTTTATAGGGAGAGATATGAAAGCTGAAGATGTTGGGGTATGAATTATGTGGACTGAGACTGATATGTGAAGCGAATCATTGAGTGACACGTGGAAAAGAATGTCAGGATGATGAGGTGGCGTTGGGATATTGGTTTATGAGGTTGTTAGGGTTTGACTGACTTGAAAGGGTTTTTAAAATTTGAAGATGTGCTGAGGAGCAGCGTGCACGCACAAGTTGTGTGTTTGACGTACATGTTTGCAATCTTTGGAGGAATTGAATTTGTGTGTTTTGCATGATTAATGAATTTTGAATCCTAACGTCCAAGACAAAATCAAATCTAAGCACTAAAATCAATAGAGCTATGGGACATATATCCAGAATGAGTATTGAGACGGCCAGATCTAAATGTGTGGGAGAGAAGACTCGTGGTACTCGAGGGTTGAGATGGGTAGGTGGAGCATTGACTACTGCACCACCCAACGAGGAAGAATTGCTGCCAATTCACATTGGGCGTGAATAAATGAATAATGGCATATAATTTAAATGTAATTCAAAAAATTATAATTAAAATATATATTATTTCTTAGATGAATGGGTCATCTTGAAAGAGTTAATAGAATTCATTCATCTAAAAAATAATATATATTTGAGTTATAATTTTTTAATTATATTTAAATTGTGTAAGCAGAATAAACAAAGACAGGAGTCTAACCAAAGCTAATCATTCAAAGTCCAAAGCCCACTAAAGTAGAGAGGCACAAGAAAGGGCGTTGGGAACGTAATTCCACACACTTGCCCAAAACTACATAAAGCAATCGTATAGAAATTTGCAACTACACTTAGTTAAAGAGAAATATTATACTTTCTAAATTAAAATTCAAATTTTGTATCCTAAATATATGTATGTACACCGCACATCACAAAGGATGGATAAAAAGTACTAGGAGCCCTCTGTCCCACGCAGAAGCAAGTGTAGGTCACCGGTTCCTCTTTACCTTCTAGTCTTCCATGTCCATTTTTCACACCTAAATCTGGCTGTTTGTATGTAGTGTTTAGGTAAGGCAATAAATGCAATTTATAACCTACTTGACATTGAGAAAGTCGGAATACTAAGGACATAAAAGTAAATTAAGGGTGAGAAAGTCGAGAATACATTGTCGTTTCCACAGAGTTCTGTGCCCAAAATACGCAGGAAGGGTAAAAGTGTATGGGCAACATCCCAATTATCCATCAATAGAAAAAATAAGGGTTTTAAGGGGGCGGTGCCCTTTTTAGAAATTATGGAAAAAAAAATCACTTTTAAAAATATAGGTCAAAAAATACACAATTCCTAACAAATCTCTAAAATACCTTCTTTAGTATAATGAAAACTCATTCCTATATTTTTGTCTCCACAATCGAAATATTAGGGATGTCAAATATTACCCATAAAACTCCTTTATCGCCGAAACCTCCATTATTCCAAGATTGATAAAAAAAATATCCCTAAAACCTACATTCTTTTCAAAATGTCCTAATTCCAATGGATCCAGACGATTTTCTCTTATTGAAAAATCAACTCTCGATAAAATTATCAACGAAGTCCAAATTCTTTTGTTTCTGATCAAGAGGACTCATCGAGATCGCAAAACTCTAAGGACTTGAAGCACAAGGTTCCGAACATTCTGGATGTTGAGGTGGACCGCAAATGAGGATCGTAGAACGTAGAAACCACCATGAATCTGTACATAAAAAAAAGGAAGGTTCTGAGAGGATTCATCTTCTTTAAGACTTGCAGATCATGGAGGCAACGTTCAAGAGGTGTAATGATTTTTTGGAAAAATTTCAACTACACCCTTTTTAGTTTATCATATCTTTAAGGACACTCCATCTTTTATCAAAAATATCATTAACACTCCTTTTAGTGTGATATTGACTTGTATCAGTGTGATATTGGCTTGTAGCAGTGTAACATTGACTTGTAATATTGTGACATTGTTGTGTATCACTGTGTCAATGTGATATGTATCACTGTATTAAATTTAAATTTAAAATATTTATGGAAAAAAACACTCTTAACAATCAATAATATTATATAAGGTAGAAACATATATTCTTCATTATGATTTATAAAAATAAAAAAATAAATTATATAAATGTAGTGTGACTTTTTGGTTGGTAACAGTGTGAATTTTGGATGGTAACAGTGTGTTATTGCTCGTACCATTGTCATTAAAAGGTATCACTGTGATATTTTAGTTTATAGTATGATGACATTGATTGGCGGGAGGGTGTCATTGACAGATATTTTCGATTTTAATGATAGAGGAATAAATATGAAATGAATGTTTTAATAAACGGTTGTGCAATAATAGATAAATAGGTAATTTAAAATTCAAAAAAGATATACCATAAAATTAGGAAACTGAATCCCTATATAACTGTCATATTTGTCTCCCATTAATAAAGAAAAAAGACAATTTAGTAAGAAAAAAAAATTACAATTCAACAAAAGTGTATCTCTTTACCAAATATTTACACATAAAAGTACTTATACACATATTTTAAATTGAGATATTTTTACACAAATAAGTATGAAATGATGTACCTTTTCACAATTTTACCAATATAGTTCAAAAGATTAAGGGTTCGTTTGATAACGTTTTTATTTTTGTGTCTTCAAAAAACCAAAAACAGAGACAATTTTATGTCTTTGTTTTGTGGTAAACACTGAAACAGAAAACATGTTTGGTAGTCATTTTTGTCTATCAAATTATGAGAATAAAAATATAAAACATGTTTGGTAACTATCTCAAATTTTATCCCAAATATGTTTTATAATATCTCATTTTTTTTTCAAACAAATCAACACTTTTATTTCATAATATGGACAAGATATCCAACATTTGGTTCAATCCACTCCAAAACCTATTCGAACACCAATTTAAACCAATCCAATTCCATATGATCAAGTGAAATCCAATCCAAAGATATCCCATCTGGCAAACAAGCAACTATTAAACAACAGTAAAAGTTCAATATGACTTAAGTACAACTCTCAAGAATAATATTTTGTCAGGGCATTGGAGCAATTCCAATATTTTTTTTAATTTTTTTTTGGTAAAAAGGAGAAATATTATTGATAAAGGACAACATTACAAGAAGCAGAAAAAACAAAGCTTTAACAACAAAGAAAAAGCCAAAGTTGACTTTAATCCTTCAAAAGAAAGACAAAAAAATGCATTCATCCAAAGTCAACACTGCCCAGCATCTCAACAGCAACAAGACCTACATTCACCTTAATAGCACCCCAAAAGCAATGAATCTGCTGGAGACGCAAAAGGACATAAGCCTAGCTGAAAACCAGTCAAAGACCCAGTTGAAAATCTGATAAAAACCAGCTGGACATCCAGCTACAACCAGCTGCAAAACACCATGAAGAACCGAGCAAAGCAGTTACATGAAAAAAACAAAATCCAACTGAACGGAACCAAGAATTCCCAGCTGCAGAATCCTAATAACAACAGTTGCCATCATCAATGAAATCCCATAAAGCAGTAAACCAGCTGAACACCAGATGAGAGACCCCAAGAACTAGTTGAAATGCCAGCAAGAGCCAAGCTGATACATCAACAAAACAGACAGTGCACATGAACATTGGACGTGAACAGTGCATCCCAACAACAAAATGGATCATGATGAAGCAGCTGACAAACCATCAAGAGCAGCTGAGGAACCAGCTGAGAGCCAATAGATGAACCACTAAAGCACTTGGACAGAAAGCAACAGCATTAGAAACCAGCTATTCATGTGAACAGTCGCGTGAATAGTGCACAAAGCCCAAAGCAGAGAGAACAATCAGCAAAATGAAGAGTGATTATGCACCAACGCCCCAGCTCCATGTCCTGACAAAAAGATCACTGCAGAACAATCCAGCACCTCACATAAACCGATGATGATAGATAAAAAGAAGAAAGACCAACATAAGTTGGCTTTAATCCTTCAACATGGATCAAGTTGTACATCAAATCCAAGTAATGCATTGATAGACAAAAAAAAGGTGAAAAGAATAAATGTAACCACCATCAATACATCATCATCCTAATATGAACATCACAGATAATTTCATGTATTGACAGTTGAAAAGCCATAACAGATAGCCCAATTACAAAAAAAGAAATTCTACTAAAATTTAGCTGACACTCAAGTGAAATGCAGACTCCAAGCTGCAGTTGAGGAAACATGACAATGGTACAGTCGCACAGATAATAGACATATCTTAGATGGATAGACAAGGGAGCTTGATTAAATTCACATCATCTGCGGTTTTGAGACCTATGAAACAATCCTAATCAACTGTTATTCAGTAAATATAAAATCCAAGATTATTCGACCATCCTAATTCATGCGCATACAATATAAAGCTCCCTTTAATGGCCAAATAGGCTTTATAAGGGACGTATACTAGGCTAAGGATTATCTAATCCTTATGCTTGTTAGTGCTCTTTTGCAATCATTATTTATAAATTATTTAATGAATTCGATCCACAGATTTGACAAATTATTCCCTACTAGGAACAAAATTGACAATGACTGATAGAACAAGCACACGTCTAATTGAAACTTCATTATGACTAGTTGAGCTAAATCCTGAAAGCAAATTAGAAAAGTTTATATTGACAATCAACTTGCTAATCTACCTTTAAAGCCAGATAAAAAACAAAAATAAAATTAAATATCAGTTTGATGAGTTTCTTAACAGAGACAAATGTCCAAGCTATTCTATAAATATACAGGAAATTGTGCATTGAAATATGGTCTGTAAAACCAAATCTAATGAATGGTTTGCAAACAAAACAAATGCAAAACCGAATAAAATGAAGGATTTTTGAATAATGACATCAAATTATATAATTTCGCTTGGCATTAAAGAGAAGATTTCCCCAACGTTGATGCCCACAAATGCAAAACCACTCAAACAATTTAAACATATTTTCTAAGATAGCAAAACTAGAAAAAAAAATATGATTAAAGCACAAAACCGTACAAATCTATGTAGATAAAAAAATATAAATAAAAAAAAAAGATCTATGTAGATTTATGCATATATATACAGATCTATGTATATATATACATATACGTATACAATGAAAGGGGTTATACTTACCTTCTTCGTCTTCGGCTTTAAGTCGTCTTCGTGTGAGCCTTGCTTCGTCTTCGTCGATCTGTGAGTGGAAGAGAGAGAGAGTTGTTGAGAGAGCTTCAGAGAAGAAAGACGTACTGAGAGAGAGACAATCGCTGCTTACCTTCACAAAAGAGAGAGAGTGGCTGAGAGAACAGAAAGTGACTGAGCAACTGATCTGTGGGAAGAGCAAGAGTGGCTGAGACAAAAAAGATCCCATATTTATAGCCCCTGTTTTGAAGTGGAATTTTGTGGCTAACAAGAGTTGAAGTAATACCTCATTTAAACAATTCACGCGTGTTTTTCTGGAACAAAAATTTTTTGTTTCCATTTTTCTGTCTTTGTCTCCAATACAACGAAAACAAAACAACACAAAAAAAAATAAACAAACATATTTTTGTTTTCATTTTAAACAAAAAAAACAAAAACACAAAACTCATAACAAAGACAGTTACCAAACAGCCTAAGTGGTTACATAACATTTTCACAAAAAGCATTTAGATTTTATCCAAAATGAATCTGGACAGTTGGATTATTGGGGTACTTTTAACAAAACTAATGACATGCAACAATGTTCAGGGGAGAGATGAGAAGAGTTTTTTGTTCCCAAATTAGGAGATTCGGAGTTTAATTCAACTCAACTCAATAACAATGTCTTTTTCTAACATTTATAGGTCAGTTGCATGAATCATATTTTGTTATTGTGTTTTATTAAGGGCTATATTTTGTCTTAAACTACAAGTTATTCCATTTTTTTTTTTACTATTTTATGTAAAGTTATTTTGATCTTTTTTACTTTTTTCATCACCGTCAATAGCTATCACATCATTGTTTCTCAAAGGTCCTATAGTAAATAATTTGCAAATATGTCTAAATCACTTAAAATTAATTCTCTCTTAATTTATCTTATTGTTAGGAGATCAATAACTCATTATTGCTACCCTAAAAAAAGATGGATTTGGAGATCGATTCCTAAGTCTAATAGGATACCAAAAAAAAAAAATCCCACTCACTGATTTTCTTTTGAATTAGGTCTCTATTAAAAAATCAAAGTAATAGACATGGCTAACACCCTTTACAATTACAAAAAATAACGATAATGTCGTCACTTAATTTAAACATTTATTCTAAAAAGTTAAATTATTATATTATATATTTTTGTCCATAAACACAAATCATAAGACACATATGCTAAAAAAAAAAATTTGGTTTACAATTAAAAATAAATATTTATATACTTTTGAGCCAAAGAAAAATAGGTACACAATCAAAAAAATAATAGGTATGTAATAAAAAATATAAACAATAACATGTATGTAACAATCATTAAACAAGTACGCTAAAATACGGATTATTAATGTACTTTTTTTTTATAAATACATATCATTAGACAAGTATACTAAAATACAGATTATTAATGTACCTTCTTATTCATACACACAGATCGTCAGACATCATCTTATGTCTAAATTGATTGGTTCACGAGTTTGAATTTTAAAACTGATACACAACACTGAAAAAATCTCAATAATAAACGCAAAAAAAAAAAAACTATACTTTAGGCTGGAATCATGTAATGAGAGCAAAATGGGTAATGAAAACTAGTAACTAACTAATCTTTTAACATTCGTGTCAACACAGGGACCGCAAGTTTTTTCAAAAATTGGAGAACCTTTTTTTTATACTAAAAATTCAATAGGACAAAAATTAATTTACACACCAAAGGAAGGAGTAAATATTGAATGGAACGGTAATACAATGTATCATCAATTGATGACATGTTATCATCAATTAATAATAAAATTCCAAATGAGAATGGTGAACCCCCAGACTTACGTGACAAAAATGTGGAAAGTTATTTGCTTATATTGCATGTTAGTTATTGATTTTTGTGAGATTCATTTGCTTATTTGTTTTAATATTATTAGTTGGTGATACAACATCACCTTGTCACGTGACATCACCGTTGTAATGAATAGACCTTAACCTAATTAACTTTAAAAAAAAGAAAAAAAAAAAAAAGAGAACTCACTGTTGGCCTATCGCTATAAAAATAAGATACGATGCACATAGTGGGCCTTGGGTCCAGCTGATCCTGATCTGCGTAAAGAACGAGGTTTTGGGCCAGGCCCAAACAAACCTTGCAATATCCGAGCTCCAAGCCCAGGCATCTGACCCTAGTTCAGTCACCTCTGCGTTTCGAGCAGGCTTGAAACCCATCTCTCTATCTCTCTATCTCTCACACACACAACACGCACGCACGCAGTGTATTGTAGCGTGATTTTCTGCATCTATACTAGTTGGAGATAATTTTGTATGCTCATTTCGTGTATTTAAACTGTTCTGAGGTTGAATGTACTTTGATGCAGTGTTAATTTTTTATTAGGGTTCGTATTGGATTCGCTGGTTCATATTCAGTTTATGGTGATGTCGTGGCGTGGGAAAGAAAATGCTTAAAAATGATGAGAGATTTAAATCATATTATGGTATAGCTCTATCAGCCGGTATTGATAACTAGTCACCTTAGAATTGACTCAAATACAACTTAAACGATTTAATCGAATCATACGAAACTCTAAGTTTATAAGCATCTAATAATTGTATCGTCTTGAAAGATATCGAATTTCACAAACAAGAAAAAACGCTTCAAGTATGTCTATAGGTGTAGGTATCGTGAAAGTTGTGTTTGCCTGGTATTGCATGGTATCTAATTTCATTTATTGAACTCGCTGAAATTCGACAAACCTTTGGGGTACTAATTTGAAGTGATTCAGTTTTCTCTTCGTTTTTCTGCTAATTCCTTTTCCTTTCTATTTGTGGCTCAATGGTTTGGTTTGTTTGAATGATAGAGAAACCATGGCTGTTCCTTTTCTCTCCAAGAAGATAGTGAAGAAGCGTGTCAACCGTCAAGAAGTTGAATAGGCCACAAAGTGACTGGAAGGTTTCTGTGAAGGTATGGTTTGCAATCTCTGACCTAAATTGCTTGTGTTTGGCAGCTCATGTTATTCATTGGTTTAATCGCTCATACAATAAAATGGAGAAAACTGTAAGAGTAATGCCATATTTCATCGTCAAAGGGCATGATATTTATTTCTACTTTTGATGAAGCGCACACAATTGTTTTGAAAATTTGTTGATGTCTTCGGTACCCGCTACTGTAGTGTGGTCATATTTTTGCTTATCAAGCACTTCAGCATTGCTCGGTTTATGAACTACCAGCTCATGTCAGACTCCCTACAATCTGTCTTAGGTATGTGTGAAAAGATTAGTTTAATATTGGTCGAGTAGTCAATCTAATGCAATTAGCAAGGTGGGCAAGTCAAAATAAACACCGTCTCTTTCGATCAAACAGGTGTATTTTTGTTAGTATCTTTGAAAAGTGGATATAAAAATTTGTTTCTTAACCTGGTCAAAGCTGTAGTAATCTTTTGGCCCTGCTCTTAGGAGTCAACTGTGTTGCAGTTTATAGGTGGCTGCACGTAAAAAATTGTGAT